TGCTGTTATGTGATGGTTGAGAGAGTTGGCGCGTTACGAAAAGCGTCTCCAACAATCTACAGACATTCATCAACAGCTGCATTCTACGCTCACTCGATACTGAACGTCGATCAGATGGCCAGAATGATAAGGATAAGTGACAAGCAACTCAGACCGGTCAACGAATCCACGAAGAAGCCATCACCCAACAAATATCTGATACGCAGACTTAAACCAAACACAATAATTTGAGTAGAGAACCGTGAGTTTATTTTAGTGTTATTCGTTTTCAGCCGTTCATAATTCGAGTCGAAGTAATGCATCGTCAGGTTGGCAAAGATGTATCGATTAAATCGAAGGCGAACTGAAGTAGGCCAATCAAAATTAGTGATAACACGATAAAAATTTTCAGTGTTTTTTAAAGTTCGCCTATTTTTAGAACGACTGAAGAGAGGTGAATGAAGCTAAAATGAAGGAGAAAACATTGGTGTTCTTGATTTAATGAAATAGCGTTATACATTACTTGGGTATAATAAAAGGCCAACACAGTAATGTGAGAAGAACCCGGAAAACTGAAATGAATAAACATAAGTTGACTGAAGAAGGTAACAAGATTTCCGGACAAACTGAAAATCTCAAAGTTTCTGGAACAACAGGTTATTGAATAGCCTTGCTGTTTGATTCGAAATAGTTGGCAAGAAACCATGGATACAAGTTTATTTTCTTTTTATGCTCGTCAGCATGGAGTGTTTGCAGCCTCAAACACACTGATGCCCGATGATTGATTCAAAAACGCGTCATCAAGAGCTTCAGTGAAAGAAGTTACCACTAAACTATTTGGGATGTGTTTGACCTCCTGTACGAGTGGATTAGATATATTGATTGTCTACTGTAGAGCAACCAATTTCATATTGTCTTGTCATGAATGGTGACAGAATTCCAAAGTTCATTTTGTAATGTAGTCGCTGAGCCATAAGATTCGTCACCATGGGAACTTTGATCGATGTTAATTAGTTAATTAGTTCTCTCTCTAGTGATCAACCGATGGATATTGAGCAGTATATAATTTTGAAAGTAAAGGTCGAACTCTCACCCTTTGACTGAAATAACCTTAATAAACCATGAAAGACTGATAATTGTTTATCAAATAATAAATTTCAGTCAATCTAAGTTATTGGATTCATGTTCTACAATAATCACTCTCTTTAGAATTCATAGACGTTCATTTTTAAATTATACATGGCAGAACGATGGGTAATCTGACAGTCACAGCCTTAGCTCCGCGTACGGAAGAGGTACGTCCAATCTCTACTTTGCCGTCATTAGAAGCACTTGGGCTTCTTTATTGCTTCAATTTACATCCTAATCATAGTGACTTGTTATTATTCTTTTATGTTTACTTTGCAGTTTATTTCCCTATGTCTTAGCACGTTAGTTCCAATCTCCTATTAAACTTCTCTTAATTCTCCAGTAAATTCTCCAGTTATTGGTTGCAACTAGGGCCATTTTTTGACCCCTTTATTAACCTTTAGTCACTACCATGATCTGTTGTATATTTTCTATAATTGCGCAATCTCTTTCAAACTCTATATATGACTCACAATTCCGTTTTGACGACCGAATGTTGACTCATCATCCAATAATAGACTTATTTGTTTGTTTCGCTGTTGTCATTATAAATTACTGGACGAAATAAGAATTACTTTCTCTAAATTACTTCGTGCTTTTGATTTCTCATGTTTTTAGCAGTATTACTTTTTTTAGTCAGTACTACTTCCTTATCCTGGCTAAAGCAAAAGTAACTTTATTCCGCATATGTATACAACATATTTTCTAAATTTTGAAATATATAACATTTTTTTTCTGATAGGTGACTTCCATAAGGTGACGAAAAATCAGGAATTTATAATTTTCTGCCTCATTGTGGTTTTACCAATGCATTTCATCTATATCATATTATTATATTCAAACACTCATTTGGAGAACTATCAGTTTTAATTGTCATCAGTACCTATGCAAATGCAATAAGCTTCTAATATTATTGTTTTCCATTTATCGACACAAGAGTTTCTAGGTTATTTGTCGGTTGGAAAGGAAACATAAGCGTGAAGATACAGTCTTTTATCACCGTTGTTTACTGCATTTCAACTAGTCTAATAAAGTCTTTGAGTAATATTTACTCCTATATCATTTGTTTTAATTTATTGTACAATGGAATACGACTTTTTCATTATAAGTAGTAATGGAGGAAGAGCAATTAAGTCTTCTACTTGAAGACTCAGGATGTTTTATGAGGTGTATTAAACACGAAAAGAAGTATAAATAGCTTCAAAATTTTCACTTCTTAAAGTTATTTGTTCAAAAAAAGTTCTTAATTTTCAGAAACACATTTACACCACCTAATATACTTCTAGAATATCATTAATATTTGCCCTATAGATTAGCTGCTTGAGCTACGTCACTTTTTACATCTCTTAACAAACATTCACTATAAGTTATGAGCAGTGACTTACTCAAATGCACTGAAATATATGCTAGTTATACTTGGCTGCAATTTATATGGAAATGGTAATCTTAGGTATCTCTGCATACAAGAGAAATACGTGGCCCTGACGATAACCATAATGAAAAAACAGTCAGATAGCAATCTGACACACAAAGTGATGCATTTCTGATATCTATGGTAGGAATATTTGTAGACGTACATGATTACTTTCAAGGTGATGTGTATGCAGAATTTTCCGTAACAGTTTAGAACGTTGACTTTATCAATCCTATTTCACCAGCTATCGATCAGATAAGACTTAGTCTTATTTTTACTCTGGAACAGATGAACTGGTACACTTATTTATTGGCATAATTTCTATTTCTTTCTGTTGACGAAATACGTCTACTTGTGATTTTTTTTTTTAAGTGAGAAAATGTCTTTCATATTAGGTACACATGAATAAAGCTAATGGCTAGCTAAATAAATTACTCAGTGCTGATTTGTACGCATTTACTCAAATGTGAATACGATTACGGATAAGATAACTTCGGCAAATTGTGCACTAATTATGTATACCAGTAAGTTAGCTGGACGTAGATTGACGTCACTCAGACTTCTAGTTCAACTGCAATGAAGTTTTAAACTAGTGAGACGCAATAAAATTTAAACTTCTTTCTTACTAAATAATTGCCCGCTGAATATTTCATGGCTAACTTGAGGATAAATAAATTCCTGTCAGTCATCATTCATTCAGGGAAGGAGGGTGTGCAAACAATATATGAGTGGTATTTTCACTGATGGAGAAGATACAGTTGGGATAAAAAAAACTTCTGAGGATCTCCAGTACTACTCATCCATTGATTATTGCCTGAAGTCGAGTTGGAATGTTAGCTTGGCATCCTATATTCAAATGTCACAGAACGTTGACAAGGCCAACTCAATGTACACTTAAATGAAATGAAGAGTTAATGAATCCTCGTTCTCATTACTGACTTGCTTCCATATGAGATTCTCCATGTTTTGATAAGAAGTCATGACCGGTGGATCTGACATAGTCAGACATGAAGACAGCTAGTAAACAACAGCATTGGATGGGGGTCTCGCTACATCATGAACTAACTGAATTAGGAAGTGTGGACCATTAGATACCAACTTAAAGGCTCGATAGTAATGTGCATGCCGCGGAACCTTAAGGCCCAGGGTTCGAGTCTGATTACCTCCAATGGAAAATGTTATCACAAATGCTTCAAAAATACATTGCATATAGAATTAAAATTATTTAAAAATCTCGATTTCAGAGTGATATTTCTACCTCAATAATCATAGACATGAAGAATTAGTCTCATATGCCACCTTCACAGTACTTAAGAAAAATCTGTTTTCATACCTGAAATGCAAGGATGATACAGTTAGTTTCGACAAGCTCATCCATGTTAGTTTCTGGTTCATCAATGTCAAAGATGAAGTTTTCTTGTTGGAATCATTCACATGAGGAGACATTCAATTTCTTCTATAGAGCTAAGTAAACAGGTCATAATAGCAGGATACTGGCAAGAAGTGCTGACGACCATTTCTGGAACAGCCACTGAAAATAGAACGTAGATCAATATACAAAATTCATGAGACATAGTAGATAAGGTTAAAAAAATGGTCAAATGGTATTTGATTACTGAAATATGCGTACGTAATCGTTTTGTTTAGTTCATTTTGCCATGATAACCTTAGATTTCCTACTCGCCGACTTCTGCTGAATAGTTTTTTATTCTTCTTCTTACAGCCCACTTAGCTAATTTAAATCATACTTTTTTACAAATAGTGTTCTCATGCCTTAGATCCAATTCTGGTACTTCTGAACCCTATTTATCACTTCATGTCTGCATTTTTTCCCCCACTACATGAGAGTGAATTACCAACTCCTGGAGCGTACATTTTTATCTTCCAACTGAAAAATCTACATGTCTTTCGAAAATTTCCCATTGTTGGAACTTTTCACCAAATTACTATACAACTATATAGTGACGATGGGAAGTTTCTAAAACAGTCCTGTTTGCAAATCACTGTCTTTTAATTAGGAATGAAAGACACTTATCGGAAGACTATACTTTTTTGCTTCACTTCTTTTGAACACTGTATGGTTATACTTACGTGTTTAACCAAACAAACTACTATTATTGTGGCTTACTTAAAACTGTATAGACAGATATTTCCAATTAAAATCTTACATCAAGCTCCCACCTTTTAGTTTCTTTTAGTCATTTAAATATGGCTTTGAACTGTAATGTTAAGTTTCAAAATGTATGGAACAAAATTTTTTTCGAAAACTTACCAGTAGATGGCAGTGTGCTTTTAAACGCACAAGAAAATCCATACTCATCAATTATCCAGCTGAACCTGCATATTTTTATGTTAGTTGAATGAACCACCATGACCACTCTTAAGTATGCTTTTCTGTTCATCCCCATTTCAGAATAGACGATTACTTAACAACAGGTAATGGTCATATATTTTGGTCTTTAATATTGTCATTACTAACATTATTGAGATGCTGAAATTGTTTCATCAGAAAATATTGTATATGTATAACAATATTAACATACATTTTATTAAACAATTATTTTATTGCCGTCAACAGAAATCTTATCACTTAAACGTATCCATCACCGTCTGGCGTCAGTTAAGAAAGCACTGAAAAGTCAATCAATCTACAACGATGATTTCATCTGCTTCAACTTATTTCTGCTAGCATGTTTGAGGGTGAGATTTTGGATGCAACATATGCTTACTAACTATTGGGGTGTGATACTACTAGTTTGTTTTTAGAAAAAGGCATATTTATTCTAACAAAAGGCAGCAGTTTGATTACATTGGCCATCCAATGAGCGATTATAATATTCCGATTAATCTTGATATTTTGAAAGAGCAAGAGAGAACATTAAGGCATGAAGAATAGTGATAAAATATTAGTACTTTAGTTCTTCGAGGTCACTCAAAACACCAAAGTTAGTTCGCCTACTTTGAAGTTATTATTCGTCCCTCGAATCAAGAATCAATAGTTACCTCTTACATTTTAGTTCCAGCTGTCTGTATCAATTCAGGTGTATCTAGCAGAGCAGTTGCTTCTGAAAAACAGAAAGAAGGGCTTACCTTAGATATCTTGAACATATCCTGAAAACTCTACTTTTGAGAGGAGTAAGTACTCTTAAGAGTGTAGATACCAAGTACCTAATGGTCACAAGATATGTGGCAGATGTTTTTGGAATAGTGCAAAGTAATCAGAAAACCAAATGATTCAGATCTTCTTTTCTCCGCTGAAGCCATTGCAACCAAATTTATGTGCTCAAGAAACACACATCGTCAGTCTTCACCTCCCCTCGTACCTTTTTTTATGATCTTACGCATATTTAGTTGCATCATTACCCTGTCTTTAAATTTTAAGTTCACACTGAACCTCAGTTTCAATCTGCTGAGTTCTATTTATTGTTTTGTAAGTTTTATTATCCTGAAGTTGTCTACTCATTGAATTATGCATTCGTTTGTTCGAAAGTCAACAGTATTCGTTTTTCTTTACGACGATTTTTATTTGACTTATAAGGCCGTCCTGACAACAACTATAATAGCTAATTCAACTTCCTTATTTTATGAAAATCTGTCTTTCCAGCGGATATGAAGAACGCTAATTGGCTGTTCCAGTGGTTACTAGGGTGGTCTTTGGGGTCATTTGGATTTTCCTCTCAATGAGAAAATATATTTGTTACATTCTGACTTTATTTCACTTCGCAAAGTTTCTTCACCTCATTATGTTACTATCCTGTTTTGAATTATCATATTGAACTGAAGTGTGCTAATATTTTATTGTAATTTGTTATTGCAAATACACTAGGTTGTAAGCAACTAGCTTGAATCCTTAAGGTAATAAGATGAATTTATACTGTACTACTCAGGTGTGTGTTTTGCTCTTGTAAAATTAATTAAAGGACATTTGTGTAAGCAGTTTGAATATCACGTCATGAAAAAACACCAGGGCTCAAAGATAGTCAAGTAGCAGACATCCGCATAGTGAAAAACAAATCTCCTCCACCAGTTAAAAATAGCCCAGTTTCTTTCGGCTAATCTGGTTCTCTTCACTGCACTGGTAAGCATCACTTTGATTTCAGTATTTTATAGAACCGAGTGAAGCTAAGTAAATGTTCATTCACTAACTTCACACTTACAAGAGTGAACGTTCAGAATGATTCCTATTGGATTGGACAGAGCTGTACTAGCATGTCAAAACAAGATTGTAAGGAGATATTTGAGCACAACAAACTTGTGTCTGAACGCTAATACATAACGCTTAATTATTGCTTATAAGTACATACATAAATCCTAAAAGCTGTCTGTCAAAACTCGCATTTTTATCTACACAGTCATATTCCAATCCGAAAATTTGCAGTCCTATGTGATTTTGGAAAAACAGAAGAATGATAGTTAAACTATAGGAGATTTTAGAGTTTCTCTTCAAGTCTTCATATTTAGAATAACTTATTGATTTACGAACATAATATAAATAGAAAACCAAGGCAAAACCTCCTCTTATTTCCCCAAATAAAACAAGGAAAGTTTTTTTATACTTTATTTCTCAATATGTGTCCATGTGAAATGATGTTTTGATATTGATGTCTAACTTGGATAGAAAACTTAGCCATCTACTTTATCATAGGGGAAGAAGAAATCAATTGCAAATGACCTTGGGTGGTATTGTCTCTAGTCTACAGTAATCGTTTGTGATGACTCCATGTTTAACATAAATATTATTCCAATTTCAGTGTGAAATATTTTTACGTTGATAGAAAAGGCGAACGATAAACTAATGAAGTCCTCATGATGGAGTAGACAACTTGAAATACCAGTAATCAGCTGTTTCATTATCTATCTATCTATGTATATACAAACATGTTGTGGAGTAGGGTAGTGTTTTATCTGCGTTGGTTATCGAGTAAATTTATATCTCTGTGGTTTACTTTTTTCCTTGCGCTTGAATCAGCCGATATTAGCTACACAATATCACCACTAAAATTGACTGCGAAGCATTATTTTTTTCATACAACGTTGAACAATTCATTTTGCTGAATTTCCATCTGGAAATATTTAACCAGCTGGTATATGATAGCATTCTCTTACATGTGAGCAAAAAACTTGCCAAAATGTCACAGTGAACTTACATTCAAATGAGTTTCAGCGTGTATCATAAATTGGTTCCATAAGAAGAAATTTGGACTCAGTGAAGCTTGAAAACAATAAGATTCAAGAAAGAAGGCTTTTTGTTATTGTCATTACTTGGAAATCTAAAGATCAATGTTTTCTTTCACGTTAGACGTATCCATAATTCCAGAACAGTATATCATTCTTTACAGTGAATGTTGAGACATAGTAAACTCTTATCAAACCACTATAGAACATGTAGCTTCATCAATACAAATTGAGTAAACCATGATATTTAGGCATTTCATCTATCAGCTGACCAGTGCAGCATGACAGATATGCTTGTCGACTATAATAGCACAGCGTGAAATAGCAGCTTCCAGCGTTCAAAGTCTAAACTGATTGGACCAGCATTATTGATAAAATTATCTTAAAAGTTACAGGCTGATTAACTGTTTAGTTTGTTTTTCACACAGAAGTCCAGAGTAATCATGTGATAGATAGCAACATCAAATTATATTTTCACCATAACACCAGTGTAACAACGTTCATTGCTCAATACCTGACTGTACTCAAAACCATCAATCTTAATCTTCCATATTTATCTGGACTGATGTAACGCTAGAATTGGTTTACGTATCTTCCGAGGTTAAATTTATGTGTTCATTACATCAGATTACGCTTTTACTTACCACGTCACTAATAGGCACATGGTCGTAAACGTATAACAATAGCAATGCTAAAACTGCCGTTGCAATTCATATTAGACAGAACAAATTCGAGACGGTTACAGATCGAGTGACTAGACAGCTGTCTCCTTACACGCTTGAGGATTTCAGAGACCATTTTGCATTCGGCTGGCCGAATGACTGCAACATTCAAATTGTATTAAAATGAAGGCTATCTTTGAAAACCTAAGGTAAATCTTATACCAGAGAAATGAATGATGCTGTCGACCTGAGGCGTTCATTATTATCTCCACCAATTAGCCGGTCATCCTTCAGTCTTTTGAGAATATCTGTAAGTCGCTTTTCAGTTACTCCACACTCATTTTTTATATAAAAAGCTCAGAGAATCTGTCATCGTCTGAAATCAGTCAACATTTTTAGCACATACTTTTCTGTTCATTAAAACCTCATCGAAACCCTTGTCTAAGTTGTAACTGAATCCTTGTTGCATCTTATTTCTTTCAGCTCTTCCTATTGTGTCTTGGTTAGAGACGACGAAATTTGGATTTCATGTTAAATTATTAGTAGCGGTAATCAAATGACGCTGATTTGAAGCGTTGGCGTTCTGTGTTTGAGTCTGGTATAATATTACCTGTTTAACTGATCAGGTTTTAAAATCGCGTGAGTCTGAATACTGTTGAAATAAAGATTCACTTCACGAAATTTTGGTCGCATAGACAGGTCTTCGAGTTGTAGCGCAGATAAAGTGATAGATGAGGGATTCGACACAAATTTATTGGTATCAATGGAGATTCTTTTTTGGACTTTTATGGAATTGAAACTTTTATTCATGTCCAGTTGATCAGTTTGAACTCGTTTATTTTTCACAAGTCTCATATTCATTTAGTAACAAATCATATAAAGCAAAAGTTCTGTCTGATTCTTGCTCAGATGTTCATAAAGGAACGAAATCAAAGATGCTTTTAGTCTGACGCTTCAGCGAATGAGAGTTGATATGCATATAATGTCTACTAATGGCCTTGCAGAACCACTTAGGATATTTAAAATTCTAAATGAAGTTTCCTAGCAAGCAGACTTCCGTGTTTGCCTTAGCAAAGTTGACAAAGTAACTCAGAAATTCATTGGATTCCTTCACTACAGAAGAGTCTCTGTGATATTTCAGATCAGTGAGATTACCCATTAGGTCATTAGAGAAAACATGAAGTAAAGCCGTAGATAACGAAATCGCCATAAAAGATATCTTGCCCAACTTATTGTTTTTTACATGTTAAGATGGATAAGGCAATCACTTCAAACAATCAAGGAGTACCAGCCAACTGAAACGAATTGACCTTTAAGCTCAGCGTGGAGACAACAGAAGTCAGTGAGAGAGATGAAAACTTTCCTAAGAAATCTGAAGGTAAGCCGTTATTTCTGACATATCACCATGCACTCAACAACAAACAATCAGCCTGAAATCAGGCGAAGTAGCACACTTTGGGTGTCTGCACACAGTCAATAACTTCACCTTCCTGTGAAGCTGTGTTTCATTGATACTAATGTTTACCATAACCTCGCCTGGTTAACTAGTTCACTAGTTTACTGGCCGGTCCTAAGCCCGGGTTGGGCATAGGGTTAGCAACCCTACCCCCGAAAACCAATCCAGTCACTAAACAAGCACAAAGAAGACAGAAAAATTAAATTATTCCTCGCTGAAATCGGGTAGACGGAATGACGCCAGTTGGTGGAAGCCTTCGCGAAGCCAATTGGCCAATGTGTCTTCTCCCGATGAAAACAAAAGGAAGGATGGGGACATGGAATGTCCACACCATGTTTAAAACTGGCTGGCAAGGTTACCCAGATTGTAAAATAAATGACAAGATATGGCATAGAAGTGTGAGGAATCTGAGAAAGCAGATGGAATGGAAGTCGACTCTCCAAACTGTCAACTGGAGGGTCAATTATCTACTCCGATATTGTCATCCAGATGACAACCACGAGCACAGCACACTGAGTTTTGTAGTGGCTATCATGATGTCCCCCTCCCAACAGCATCGAAGGCTCCCTGTCATGCAGTCGGGACCAATCTCCTCCTCCATGATCAGGAAGGATCATGACAGCAAGATGGATTCAACTGAAAAGGAAGCAAAGTCACAACCATACAATGCTAGGCTAGTCTACGCTACGCTACGCACCTACAAATAATGTGGATGAAGAGAAGAAGGAGGAATTCTACAGACAACTGCAATCAGTATTGGGCAAGACTCAACCCAACCCAACCCAGCGCAACCCAACGCAACCCCAGTTAGCGATGGTGACATTGAAATTCCAATGTGTGGGGTGACATGAATACCAGTCAAACTGGGAGGAGACAACATACGAAGAGGACTGATCATGATCGAGAAGCAGTCGGTGAAATGATGAGTGAGAATGGCGAACTCTGTGAAGACGTCTGCACCTCCAGTGATTTGGTGATTGGAGTCAGGCAGTGTGTACAAACAAACACAAGGATATTCAGAAGGCAGCGACATGGATTTGATTTGACCAGACACCACATCAGGACACACTGAGAATCAGATCGACTTCATGTCAATGTGAAGAAAGTGGAGATGCAGCCTACTTGACACAAGGTTGGATGAAGCAGCAGGGGAGCAGATGTCGGTTTACATCACTCACACCACTATCTAGTGCAAGGAAGCTACCTTCAAAATCAAGTTGAAAGTCTTCAAGGAAATTGGTGATAGACTACAGTTCAAGTCCAACACCCAGAAAGGAAACTGAAGACGAAACAATAAGGAACATCTTCACATCAGCCATCAAGGAAAAATGGAAGATATTAAGCAACATCCCTGAAGAAACCTGTGTGGATGAGCACTGGAAGTCTTTGACAGAGATGTGGAAGTGAACCTGCATAACCGTGTTAGGGAGGAAGAAGAAGAGGTAAGACAAGAAATGTATCTTGACGGACACATGGAAGCTGATAGAGGAGGGAGAGGGAGATGGTGAAACATAAGGTGAAGCAGAAGATAAACCAGTGCAAGGATGAACGACGAGAAGAGGAACTGAGTACAATGTATAAAACACTACACTGGATAAAGAAGTGAAGAAGAGTGCACGCAAAGACAAAAAACACTCCTACGATACACTGGCAAGTGAAGCAGAACAGGCTGCTGGTAGGAGAGATAGAGACCTGATAACATTGTATCAAATAACCAGGTTACTATCTGGGGGGGGGAATAGATCAACACAGATGAAACCAATGAAAGATGAAGGAGGAAATTTAATTACCAAAGAAAAGAAACAAATGGAACGATGGGCCGACCACTTCAAAAAGCTCTTGCATCGACCACCATCTGCACTTCATCGAGAAATACCACCAGCACCCCGAGCCACAGAACTACCAGTCAACACAAATCCTCCAACAAAAGTCTAAGTCCTGAGCGCCATAAGGATACTGAAATGAGGGAAAGCAGCAGGACCAGATGGAATCCCGCCAGAAGCACTGAGAACAGACTCAGAGACAACGGCGGACATGCTCACACCACTATTGCAGTAGGTCCGGAAGGAAGGAAAGGCACCTGCCTGTCGATTGGGAGAAGGCCTATCTTGTCAAACTCCCAAAGAAGAGTGACGTAAGTCTTCGCAAGAACGGGTGCGGAATCACGCTCCTGTCCCTATCCACCCCAAGCCAGCAAAATATTAAGCCGCTTCATACTGGAGAGACTAAAGGATGCACTGGATTCAAAATTATGACCAGAACAGGCTGGCTGGCTGGCTGGATTCAGGAAGTACAAATCATGTGCGGATAAAATTGCAACGCTACTCTACGCATCATCATAGAACACAGTATAGAATGGCAGTCAACTCAACTCTACATCAACTCCATCGACTTTGAGAAGGCCTTTGACAGAGTCGACCAAGAAGTAATTTGACAGTTGCTTCAACACTACAGAATACCGCAAACCTTTATCAATCTCATTCAATAACTATAAGACGACGCCACATGCCAGCCAAGTAATTCACAATGAGAAGCTCAGTGATGCTTTTGAAGTGGAAACAGGAGATAGATAAGACTGCCGCTTACTGTCACCCATGATATTCCTGATTATAGTCAACTCGACTGGATCATGCAATAAATAGTGAGGAGCGAGAAGAGGGGGATACGCTGGCTGGACCGGGGAAAAGAACGTAGAGGATTTGGATTTCGCCGATGACTTATGTCTGATGTCGCACAAACGTTAAGATCTATAGGTGAAAACTAACAAGTTAATAGAAGAAGCAGGGCAGCGAAGACAGGACTTCCTTCAGGTGAACGTAGAGAAGACAGATGTGATGAAGATACCCAACCAACGACACCACCAACAACAAGAAGCTCCAAC